TGGCAGCGGCTCCGATCCCCGCCAGCGATGCCGGGCGAGCACACGCCAGGACAAAACTTCCACCATTTTTCCCCGGTGAGTGTCCACCCGTGCCAGCACGAGGGTCCCACGCGAGCGGGTCCGGGGCTCGCTGCCAAGCGATCGGTTGCCCCAGGGCCACCGAGGCACCAAGCAGGGAGCTGAGCACACGCGTCCGGTTGGCACGTGAATTGTCAGCCTTCTTCCTCCCCCTCTTCCTCACACCCTGGCAGTCGAACACACGGAGCACAGCCTCGTGACTCATCGCAGCCCTGGTAAATCGCTTTTTCTGTTCCGTCTCCTCCTGCAGCCCGAGTACCCCTGGCGCCCACCCTGCGCCATGGCTCGCAGCCAGAACGCCCAGGCGGTGGCTGGGGTGAAACCGGTCCCCAAGGACTTGGGTAAGGCTCAGACCCTTGGCGCTGGGAGGGCCCCTGGGAGCCCCAGGTGGTGGCCGAACACGTGGGGGAGGGATGGGGGGAGGATACCTTGCCAGGCGGTGACCGTTTCCCGTCAGCCCCAACCTCTGATCAACTGAGGGGGCGATTCTGCCGTGGGGTCGGTCCCTGCTGCGTCCTCCCCGCCATCCCTGCAGCGTCTGAAGACAGGCGTGAGCCTGAGCCCCGGCATCCCCTGGGGTTATGGCAATTGGTTCTCGGGGGGGGGAACGGCCATCCCGTGGCCAGCATCCCTCCTGCGGGGCTCATCTGGGCACGAAGAGCTGTGCTCACCCCGTGCCCCCCTTCTTGTGTTTCAGAACAGGCAGGTCCCGGATTGCCCTAATGCCAAGGACCGGCTGCGCTGTGATACCGGTGGAAGAGGAGTAGGGTGTGTGTGTGTGCCTGTGTGTATATATCTAGGAGCTTCCTCCGGTGCGCGGACGTGTGGTGGACGTGGCCGCACCCGTGGCCTGGAGCGGCTCAGCAGTGCATCCCCCCCGGGGAAGGTGCGAAGGAAGGACCCGAGGTGCCATCATGGTGGTGGTCAGCACAGGGTCAGCCCCCCCATGGCCATCCCTTTCCCCATGAGACGTCAGGCCTGGTGCCACCGTAGACTCGAGCCAGGTCTTCAGGGAAGAGGAGCCGGCATTTCCCAGGAGCACAGCAGGAGCTGCCGCGGTCCAGGG